GCACGCATAGAAATGAGCTGGGGACTAACTCCAATGGGAGGCGGAATTAACATTGCATAGAAATGATCTGGGGATAGAATAAATCAACTCTAGTGGGAGGCAGAATTCCTGTAACAGAGGTGCGAAAGCCTGCACGATAGACTTTGTCCCTGAGATGTGTGCTGACAATGGCAGAAGATAGAATGGATCAGGAGAAGTGAGAAGAGATGTGTTCCTTGCCAGCCCCAAGGCACCTCATAATTTTCCCTGGGAACTGAGAATAGGAGAGGGAAGAACAGCGGCGATGCCAGGATAGTGGCGAAAGTAGCATACAGAAGTGAAGGAAAAAGCACAGTTAACGAGTAGAAAGGTTGCGCAGAAAGGGTAGGCCTGAGCAAAGGTTGGCCGGGGCCTCTATTTACTCATTCGGGTTGGGTGACACTGGCTTCACCTGATTGACGTGGCTGCGGCCATGGTAGAAAGAAATCTGGAGTTCACTTTCCACGCTTCCAGCAACAAGAAAATAGCCACGTGTGTTTCGTACTGAGTCTGCTTCAAAACAGCTTGGCTACCAAGCTTGGATCTTTCCGAGTTGAAGTGCACGACAACCCATTCAGGCTCAAACATGAGGACTTGAACATCAAACCATAAGCTGTTCAGGGTGGTTCAATCAACCCGAACCGCAATGGTTTGGTTTGTTCGAGTCTCGACTATGCCCCTGACTTTAAGCAGATTTGACCGAACCAGTTCAGGTTGGGTACTTTCTCACGCCTGCTTACAGTTGCTGCAGGTTACTAAGCATGCCGATTGTAGTGGGGATTGTGCCAGCGAGCTGATTGCTTTGAAGAAATCTGCGACGATGAACACGAATGTTCACGGGCCGGGAATAGCGTCAAGAGGAGAAATGGTGGAGTGGAGAGGAGGGAAGAAACGAGATCACGATCAGTCTGCAAGGTTGCTGATTTCAAAGTGTTCAATTTTGCAAGGCTGCCCCTAGGAGCAGGAATTGTGCTAGTGAGCTGATTGACAGAAAGTGATCTGCACGATGAGTATAGATAGTCATGTGGTAAATATAGGAAGTCCAAGTTTGCAATGGGGAGGAGTGATGGATAGGGGCAAACAGAAAATCAATTGGAAGGCGAAATCCATGAAAATGCAACAGAGCCATGAAAGGCAGCACGATGGACATTGTCTGTGGGATAGATGGGAAAAGGAGAAGTGAGGAGAGACGTGCACTTTGTGTGCCCCAGGGTATGTCATCAAATATTCTTTATGTTCCGGGACTGGAATGGAAGGACGGTAGTTTGGTTCGATCAGACCGGCCCGTTCAACCAGGTTCGACCTGAACCAGGTACGTGCTCATGCTTCACTCACAGGATTTGCAGGTTCGCAAGGTTGCCTATTGCACTGGGAATTGGGCCAATGAGTTGATTGCTTTGAAGATATCTGCCACGATGGCATGCAGGGAACATACAGGAAGCTCGGGCTTCCATGGGAACAAGCAGCGGATAGGAACAAGCAACTCCGCTGGGAGGCAAAATCCCTAAGAACGCAACAGAGGCATGAAAGGTAGTGCGATGGTGGAGTGGCATAAGTGCTGACAGGGGCAGGGGTTGAAGGGGGCCCCGTGACGTGTAGAAGAGCACTTCATTGCCCGCCTCAAGGCATGTCGGGCATGAATAGAATGATCCAAGGGAAGAGAGCGACGTGAGAGGGGATGATGAGAGAGGCGGAACCAAGATGTGAAGAAGGAAAATGAGGGATGATGTGGAGAGGGAGAGGTGTGGAGAGAGGAAGGGAGGGATGAAAGAAGAATGCAACGGTTATGAGGTTACAGGAATGGAAAGGACGAATAGTTCAACAAGGAATGGGGGAGCTGAACGAAGGGGGATGTATGAAGACACATAGAGAGGGAGCTCGATAAATGGACAAGAGGATCGAGATGGAGAAGTGAGAAGCAAGAAGGAAATGTGGCAGAGAGGCCATCCACTCGTAGAGTTTTTGTAGCCAATTACTCGGTTCGCTGTTAGTGCATAACTGCAGATGGACACTGCAGTGTGTGGTCATTCCACACCCTCAAATCACTTCGAACTATCAATCAACAATCACATGGTTCCAGTCACATGCGCATTACTGATACCAGAACCACAGCATACAGCAAAGGAGAGGGTGGTGATCAGCAGAGATATGGGAGTGATCAGCAGTGTTAAGTTATATATGCAACATGCTAGGCTATTGTGATTGTACACTAACATGTGTATGTCACACTTGATGTATGACCAAATCAACACCCCTGCCTCCTACGGCGCCGCGCATGACATCCACCAGACTCACACCCTCCCGTACGTCTCGTAAGAGAATGGTGTCATTCCCAGGTTTACCAGGACTACATGTTGTTGCCTCATCTCTCATGCCCCCACTCCCCCTTCGCTATAAATCTGCGCTCTTCCTGATGCCGCAAGTTCGACCGTGTTCGACCCGAGCCGGTTGGGGTTCGGTACTTGCTCCTGCCTACTTACAGGCCTCTGAGGTTTGTAAGCATGCCAAGTGCAGTGGGGATAAAGCCAAAGAACTGATTGTAATGGAGAAATCTGCAGAAATGAACACAAAAAGGCACGCATGAGGTGTAGGAATTGGGATTACAGAACAAGAACAGCTTCAGATCAGAAGTAGACAGGAACAACGGGCTCACTCTCCCTTACCAAACGGCATAGAGGTCTTTGGTTATTGTGCATGTCTGCACACAGTCACTGCAGTGTGTGGTCGTTCTACACCCGCAAATCACTTCTACCTTGCAATCCACAATCACATGCGCGCTAATAGTACCATGACCACAGGATACAGTGAAGGAGAGGAGAGGGTGGTGGTCAGCGGAGCTGATGCGAGTGGATATAAAGAGAGAGTGCAAGTGAATCCATGGTCAGGAATAGCATAAAAACAAGGAGAAAAGGCAGAGATTAGAGAGGAGAAGAAGCTCGATTACAGCCAATTAAAGGAATTGCTGGGGGCTTACAGATAACTCAGTTTTGATAGGCTGCCGATTGCAGCAGGAATTGTGCCAGTGAGCTGATTGCCAACAAGTGATCTGCGATGCGATGATGAGAAGGAATGGGTATGCGGTAGATATAGGAAGCTCAAGTTTGCATGGCAACAAGCGAAGGATAGGAGGAAGTAGCTCCAATGGGAGGAGAAATCCCTGAGGATGCAGCAACAGAGGCATGAAAGGCAGAATGATGAATATTTTCAGCTCGATGTGTGCTGACACTGGCAGGAAATGCATACGGCTAGAATAAAGTCAGGAGAGAGGTGCACGTTGTGTGGCCCAAGGGGGGGTGTCATTGTCATATACAATTACCACGGGGAAGAGCGCATGGGAGATGGGAGGAGAGAGGAGAAAAGTAGGTAGGAATAAGGGAAATGGAAGGAATGATGAGGAAAGAGAATGATGTGGAGTGTGTTGTGAAGGGAGGACGAGAGGGATGCAAGTAGTATACAGAGATTTTGAGGTTCTGGGACTGGAAGGAGCGGAAGGTGGGAGCAACAAGAAGGGATGTGTGAAAAAAAGATGAGGGAAGAGGGTAGATGGACATATTTGAACAAGAGGGACGAGCAAGAAGCAAGGAGAAAATAGAACTGAAAGGCCTTACACTTGACAAAAATGCTTAGAAGATTGCCTTGTCAAATGCCCAGAATCTGAGCCCAGCAGGCACTCAAACCCTCGGCACTAGACTGTTGTTGTAATGATTACATACATACAACGGGCGCCGAGGCGAGTTATTGGACTCGACTCGTACGAGTTACTCGTTCAGGGCCGTGTAACGAGTACGGGATTTGGCCAAAAATGCTCGGCCAAGTCGGGACGAGTATTACTTGGCGAGCTTTTTGTGCTCGTCAAGCACTCGTCCGGTTAAACAGAAAGTAGTTCAGTTTGACTGCGCCGGCTGGTTCGACTAGGTTCAACCTGAACCAGTTCGGGTGCAGTACTTGCTCATGCCTCACAGGCTTTGAAGGTTTGTGAGGTTGCCTATTGCACTGGGAAGTGAGCCAGTGAGTTGATTGCTGTAAAGATATCTGCCACGATGAGGAAAAACGGGCATGCACAGTAGACATAGGAAGCTCAAGCCTGCATGGAAACGAGCAGCGGATAGGAGCTAGCAACTTCGTTAGGAGGCAGAACCTCTAAAAACGCAATACAACCGGCACAGTGGTTTTAGCCAGTCAGACTTAGTATTCTCTTTGTGCAGACAGACACTACAACCCCCAGATCTCTTCTACCTTGAAATACGCTACACGCTACTAGTACCAAGACCCCGGGATACAGCGAAGGAGAGGGTGGTGGTCAGCGGAGCTCATGCAAGTGGATATAATAAAAGAGGGGAAAATGGAGTGCCATGAGTAGCATCAAAAGGAGGAGAAATGGCGGAGAACTCAGAACCTAGAGAAGAACCTAGAGTACAGCCAAACAACGCCATTGCTGGGTGCTTACAGAGAACTTAGTTTTGCAAGGTTGCCAATTTCAACGGGAATTGTGCCATTGAGCTTATTGGCAGAAAGTGATCTGCAGTGACAGAATGGGCATGCGGTAGATGTATGGGTATGCTCAAGTTTGAATGGCAATGGGCGACAGATAGGAGCAAGCAAGCAACTCCACTGGAAGGCGAAATCCCTGAGAATGCAACAGAGGCATGAAATGCAACACGATGGAGATTGACCATGGGATGTGTGCTGGCTCTGGCAGGGGATAGATGGAGGCAGAAGTAGTGAAGAGAGAAGTTCACATTGCACAATCACGTCTGTTTCTCTACACGGGACCTACTGTGTTTGTTGTGTTGTACTGATAACAAATACCCTTTTACTCTCAAGGGTTGGGTGCATAGAGTAACAATATGTGAAAAGAAGGAAGAGGGGAAAATGGATTGCAATGGACAGGAGGGAGGACTACCATCAAAAAGAGGACAAACGGCGGAGAGTAGAGAGAAGAATCTGGAGTGCAGCCAAGAAAGGCCTTGTCAGGGGCTTACAGAGATTTCAGCTTTGCAAGGTTGCCGATTGCAGCAGGGATTGTGCCAGTGAGCTTATTGACAACAAGTGATCTGCAACGAAGAGTATGAAAAGGTATGCGACGTTATAAGAAGCTCAAGTTTGCAACGAGCGACAAATAGGAGAAAGCAACTCCATTGGGAGGCAAAACCCTTGAGAATGCAACAGAGGCATGAAAAACATCACGATGGACAGTGTCCGTGGTAGGGTTGAGCAAAAAAACGAACACCTGTTTGATTCGCCTCGAACGTTTGAGGCGAACCAACGTGTTCGTGACAAACATGTTCGAGGTTCGCTCGAACACGAACGTGTTTGGGCCGCTGCTGCAATCTGCAACGAGTCGAACACGAACGTGTTCAAGGTTCGCCCGAACACGCCTTCACAGGGTTCGGGGAAGGAGAAGTGAGGAGAGACGTGCACTTCGTGTGGCCCAAAGAGTGCCATCGACTCAAGAAGTAAGCAAAGGTTGGAGTATACGTGGCCCAAAAATGGAATTCCCTAATTATGAAGCATGAAATATTAGTTTGTATTGTTGACATTAGTGGTCGAGCTATATTTGTCACATTGTGCTCCTTGAGAGATTTTACCCGAGACTAGGCACCCCAAACTCAGCTTGGGGGCACCTCACCACGTCTCCCAATTTCGGGAGCGCGGCTCCATCTTTGGGCGCGGCTCCATCTTTCGGTTCGGCGAACAGTTTAGGCAAAAACAGGTGTTCGCTGTTCGCCTGTGGAGGCGTGTTCGGGCGAACCTCGAACACGTTCGTGTTCGCCACGGGGCGTTCTGCAGCAGCGCCACGAACACGAACGTGTCCGGGCGAACCTCGAACACGTTCGGGCGAACGATTTAAGCTGAAAAACAAAACCTGTTCGGTTCGCCTCGAACACGTTCGAGGCGAACCGAACAGGTGTTCGCCACCTTGCTCATCCCTAGGTTTGCCTGTTGCTCATATCAAACAGGTGCTTCACGGTCTTTCTCCTTTCATATGAAGGTCGAGGGATCCGCTGTGATTGTCAATAGTTCAGAGCAGACGTGCATTCACTTCCGCTGTGTTTAGATACTTAGCAACACCCCTGCCTCATGACATACTGTGCCGTGCATGGCATCCACCTGACTCATACCCTCCCGTACTCCCCTTGCAGAATAGAGTCATTGAGAGCCGCACAAAAAGATCACCTAGACTGCTCGTTGCATCCCCTCTCATGACTCCACTCCCCCTTCCCTTATGAAGCTATGCTCTACTTCATGCTGCTAGTTCTACCAAACGTCCTAAGCGAACCAATCCAGGTTCGGTACATGCTCATGCTTACTTACATGTGGTTTAGGTTTGTAAGCATGCCAAGTGTAGCAGGAATTGAGCCAGAGAGCTGATTATATTGAAGATATCTGCAACAATGAACACGAATGGGCACGCATGCTACATATTATAAGGAAACATAAAAATGAGTTGGGATAGGAGAGAGCAGCTCCAGTGGGATGCATTTGTGCCGAGTATCGTTCCACCTTAGGCGGTCTTGTCGCAGTTATTGCGCAGCCAAAGGCCGCCAGCGCGAGACGCCGATAACAAAAGCAAGAAATGGAGAACGAGAGGAGACGTGTCTTCACAGCCTACACATCTGCCTATGGATAAAGGCAGAGGGCTAAGGCTAAGGCTAAGGATAAGGGCGGAGGCTAACCCCTTTACTCGCTTTCCCTCTCGCCAAGATCAAAAACAAGAAATGACTAACAAGCTCTCTCCTTGCATTGCTCCACTCACAGCAGTCACAATGCCTCCACTCTGAAATACCTCCACTGTTCTCGCACCCGTCCTTCTTCACCAGTCCACATTTCACACCGCCTCTCCAAACGTCCACATGTCCAGCGCATCTGGGCCTTAGACAACGTACATTATAGAGAGCTCACGGAGACTGCTGATGGAATCCGGAATGGGCCCTTTGAGGTTGAGGGACTGTAGGTCCCTGCACCCGTATGCACCCAAGCATGCCACCATGTGGTTACCATGAAATCAGGAGAATGAATAGTGGCGCGGCCTTAAAGGTGGTCCTAGCACGCACATGGTGGTCACTAGGCATGAGCAGGGTACCGAACCGAACGAGTTCACTACCGAACAGAACCGGTTCCTTCACAAACAGGTTTGCATGGTACCGGTTCGTGGTTTGTTAAAATAATTAACGAACCGAACCAGTTCGGCTGAACCAACCCACTTCGGTACCGAACCTAAGCGGTTTGTTTTTCCAGTGGACTTTGAATATGGGAAACACGCAGATAATAGGTGGAAGGAGGATTTTGTACAACTATGACAGAGTTAAAGCTCGAAATAAGCTCATATGATTTGTTTTTTGGGTTATATTCGAACTTGCATGACCAAGGTCGATATGTCGCACCTCGCAGATTTGGCAAACCGACGAACTGCACGAACTGACGAAACGGAAGTAAAAAACAAAAACAAACGGTACGGTTCATGTAGTTCATATTTTTTCCCCATGCCTAGTGGTCGTCACTGTATGCGAACACTGAGGGGGACAACCCCCCTGCACGAGCACACGGCAAACAGAGTGCAGATTGAATCTCACATCACCAAGACCATTCCGCTGCTGTCGCATGTGATACCCTTCGCACTGCTGCAGTCCGGATTGGTATCCCCCCAACCGGGCAACGTCTGACCCCATGCCGTCTGGCAGTCCTGCATGAATTGCACTGCGCGTTGGTGGAGTGGAGGTGGGGGAGGGAATGGAAAGAGGGGCGGGGAAGGGTGTTGGCAGGTGGCACAGGTAGAGATGGGAGGAATGAGGAGCAGAAGGAATGTGTGTCTGGTCGGGGGGAGGGGGAGGGGGGGGGATGGAGGGTAGGTGGTGTGAGGAGCGCACGTAGCAAGCAATGCCACATTGCACATAACAACACCGTCTCAAATATGGCGCTAAGAAAAAAACAAATCTACCACTTGTCAGACAGGATACTTTGTTCCCCCACACATGTATATCAGCAAAACTTACGGGCAGGGCAATCACGTTACCAAACCACAAACATTCGCCACCGCTTGTCACAAAACGCCACAGCCAATCCATCAATGTGCAACTAGATGGCTCGTCCCAAGCCATCACTTCATCGCAACCAATCGCAGGTCTCTACTCTGTGCTCGGATTGTAAGTGCATTTTGAAAACAGTGTCGTCGATACACTTTCTGAACTCTCAAAATTGTCCCGTAGGACATCCCTAGAGACCATTCAGGGACAAAGCCAAAATCTGTCCCAAAATGACTCCTGAACACTTGGGGATGGAATTTGGAGTGTACACGCTGAAGTGAACATGGGCAGAGCCAGTGGCGACGTGTACACATTTTGCAAAATCTTGCCGCGAACACGTGTGAAACAGGAGCTACGGCGCGCTGCCGCACACGGCGCGTCTGGCCTGGCTGGCCATGACGATTAGAGCGGCGCCGTAGCTAGAAGAAAGAAGAATAGAGTCTTGCAGCAAACGGGAGCTAAGCCAAACCGAGAGAGAAGCCTAGCTCCATCTTTGTAAATGAGAGAGTGACAAGAGAAGAATCAAGAAGAAGATTCTTGTATTAGAATGGAGGATAAACAGGATAATCTATGTTGGTCGCGAAACGCCACTCTCAAGGCTGACGCGACCGTTACGGGGCCTTCACAAGGCCTACACGCGACCTTTGACGGGTCCTTGGCTCGATTTCAGCTTCACAGGCCCTTCGCGGGACATGATGGGCCTTTGACGGGCCTTTCACAGATGGAATTCGCGTCACCAGGCTTGACGTATCCCTCACGGAAGTTTGACGCAAATCTCAACAATGTGCTAGAAAAACTCCCCAGTCAGAGTTGAACACACATTTCACCAAGCGAGAGGTTTCAATGTGTTGATTTCAAATGCTTAGTACAACAACTTTATACTCTAACCAAAGCACGCAGAAACATTGGTAACAAAACGACTAACCAATGTTTCACGTCGCGTCGCACACGCAACCTCAACACTTTCGTCGAACACTCCCCAAGTCCGAATTCAATTCCTTGTTGAACAAGCCACGTTCCAACCCAACTTTTCCTCCCGTCAATCAATTTCTTCCTTCTAGCCATTTCTCCCCCGTTATTTCTCCTTCTAGTCTTTTCTCCTCCCTTATATTCATCTCCTTTCCCATAACATAGGACATGGGCATAGTAGCTTAGACACTTTCATAGCTATTGCGCATAGCGTTTTCCACACGCCACCGCTTTAGTGCCGCCGTCGGTCCATATTTTCCGCCGTCGTTAGTGTGGTTCGCTGAACCACTTCAACAACCTGAAGATGCTACAGCGAGAAACACGGAGGCATATTTAAGCTAGGAAGGACGGCGCGCGGCTCGGAAGGAAAACCGCTTCGCTACGCTTCTTAGCATGGCATCTTGGCATAGCGCCTCGATACCATGCTCTGTTGGACTTTAGTAGCTTCTAGTAGCTTGAAAAGGATAAGGGAGCTAGCTAGGGGGACAATCGTTCAGGTATTTCCATGACGCAGGCATAGCGAATCCCATCTTGTACCAACACGTCATCATGCGAAACCAGCGGAGGGCTTCTCCAGAAAGAACCTCGAGAAGCTTCCAAAGACCATGCATTGGAATCTGAAACGATCTCTTTTGTGGTGCCCGAATAGACCCACAAAAAACCCGCACAAAGGACCGTCCTCAATTTTGCGATGCGCAATGTGGTTGCTGATCCGCACCCATTTGTCTCACCTTGTGACGCCTGAAGCGGCTGAGCGTTGACCAGGGCGACGGGCCTGGCAAGTTGAAGGACAGCGAGGCACCATGCGAGAGCCAGCGCGCGCTGCACCCATCGCTCTCCTAGCAGCGCCATGATTCCCTCGCGGCTCTCCGCCGCCGCTGCACGCGGCGACTGCCAATCGAGAGTGGAGAGACTCGGAGTCCACTGCGCCGCTCTACTACGCGACTCGGCCCGCGGCGGCCCCGCCGCGAACAAGCTGTTTCGCCGTGACTGCTCTCCCCGTCGTCCTCCTACGCTACTACTAGCACTTCAAGTTGATTGCGACTGCTCGCGGCTTCTTTGGTTGCTCAACTCAAGCACACGATTGAGCCGCGTTTGGCTCCTGGAACAGGTGCGGTCCGAGGAAGAGCATCACACGGAAGGAGGCGTTTTGCAAGGGTTGAGCGTCAGGAAAAGTTGGACTGCTATGGTGCAAAAGAAGGCTGATGACAGGCTAGATCCTCGGTGAAAATCGGTTTTGATGTCGCAGAAACGCAGCCTATCCCCACAGGTATCACGCACCGTACTGTAACGAGGTGCTCTGGTTGTCAGTTCGTTGGGTGGGCCAGCTGTTTTGCGTCGAGGGCTCGCAGGTCGACCACACGATTACCTATCAACACACTGTACACGCAGCCAATGTGTGGACCGCAGAGAATCTTACCGCGTTAGCGTGGACTGTAGTCACGGGTTTTGTTTTCAATCTGGGTGCCTCCGGGACCCCCACGTAGACCATAAATTCCTGAATAATAAAAGGGTACCCTGACTCAGTGAGCTAGCCCATCGGACCAGTGCTGCTTCAGAATACAAGTGAAGGGCACACATGAAGTACTCGAGACGAACCCCTCAAGAATTCCAAGTTCCTGAAACATCTTAAAACCGGGGTCACAAGTTTGCCAAGTTTGGTTCAACCTTCCTACCCTTGGTTTGGTGTAACCCTGTTGACAGCGTTGTGCCCTGAAAGTTCACGCTTGCGTATACTCGAACACTCGCCCCCCAAAATTACTGTAGCGTCTGTATCGCCTGCACCCAAACAGAGCCCAAATGTGTCGCACAGGGGACTGTGGTAGGAAGCCTGAAACCACCGGGGTAGAAACTTGAGACTTGGATAATCAAGTCACCAACGCACTGCTTGATAATAGCCTAGTCTGCTTAGAAGGCCACAACTGAGAAAATTCCAGGCAATGATAATGCACACAATAGGCATAGGGTCAAGGTAGTGGACGTTTTCTGTCAGGGTGCTCCGAAGTGGCGCGCACTACGTCCGTTGAGTGGATTAGGGAAAAGCCAACGAGGGCGGCGTAGAGCCTGCAAGGCGACAGCTTGGCAGCGAGGAAAAACGTCACGGACTCCTGAGTCCGCGCGGGAGCGAGGGCGACACCTTACGCAACACGCATGTGCGGTGGCTCGGCGATTTTATCATGGTATAGCGCAATGTTCGGACCGTGCAGAGACGAGGACTATGCAATGTCGTCTAGGGCTCTTACAGCACGTCAGGGATTCATGCGCTACGTCTATCGTGCAAAAGGGCAATCTCACACAGCCGAGCGGAATTCGTGCCTGAAGGAAAACCCTCCTCATGCTACTTCTTTCTCCCACACGCACGTCGCTAGCACTCCCGACTTCCCTCTCGCGAGCACTCCCATTCGTCACGCTAGCGATCACCCCCCCCCCCCCGACGCGCGCACTCCCCTTCCCCGACGCGCGCACTCCCCTTCCGCGACGCGCGCCCTCCCCTTCCCCCTCTCGCGCACTCCCCTTCCCTGACGCGCGCTCCCCCCTTCCCCGACGCGCGCACTCCCCTTCCCCGACGCAAGCACTCGCCTTCCCCGTCGGGAGCACTCCCCATCCCAGCCAAGATCACTCCCTTTCGTCACGCTAGCATTCCCATTCCCCGTCACGCTAGCATTCCCATTCCCCGTCACGCTAGCATTCCCATTCCCCGTCACGCTATCATTCCCATTCCCCGTCACGCTAGCATTCCCATTCCCCGTCACGCTAGCATTCCCATTCCCCGTCACGCTAGCATTCCCATTCCCCGTCACGCTAGCATTCCCATTCACCCACGATAGCCCTCCCCTTCGCCCTCCCTTGCACTCCCCTTCCCCCTCCCTAGCACTCCCCTTCCCCACCGCAATCCCTCCCCTTCCCCCACGCGAGTACTCCCCTTCCCCCTCGCTAGCAAGCCCTCCCCTTCCCCCACTCTCTATCCTCCCATCCACCCACGCTATCCCTCCCCTTCCACCTCCCTTGCACTCCCCTTCCCCCTCCCTAGCACTCCCCTTCCCCCCCGCAAGCCCACCCCTTCCCCCTCCCTAGCACTCCCCTTCCCCCTCCCTAGCACTCCCCTTCCCCCTCTCTAGCACTCGCCTTCCCCCTCTCTAGCAATCTCTTTCCCCCACGCTAGCCCTCCCCTTCCCCCTCCCTAGCATTCCCCTTCCCCCCCGCAAGCCCTCCCTTTCCCCCTCGCAAACCCTCCCATTCCTCCTCGCTTGCAAGCACTCCCCTTCCCCCTCGCAAACCCTCCCCTTCCCCCACGCTAGCACTCCCCTTCCCCCCCGCAAGCCCACCCCTTCCCCCTCCCTAGCACTCCCCTTCCCCCTCCCTAGCACTCCCCTTCCCCCTCTCTAGCACTCGCCTTCCCCCTCTCTAGCAATCTCTTTCCCCCACGCTAGCCCTCCCCTTCCCCCTCCCTAGCATTCCCCTTCCCCCCCGCAAGCCCTCCCTTTCCCCCTCGCAAACCCTCCCATTCCTCCTCGCTTGCAAGCACACCCCTTCCCCCTCGCAAACCCTCCCCTTCCCCCACGCTAGCACTCCCCTTCCCCCTCCCAAGCATTCCCCTTCCTCCTCGCTAGCAAGCCCACCCCTTCCCCCACGCTATGTCTCCCCTTCCCCCTCCCAAGCACTCCCCTTCACCCTCCCTAGCACTCCCCTTCCCCCTCTCTAGCAATCCCCTTCCCCCTCTCTAGCAATCCCCTTCCCCCTCCCAAGCATTCCCCTTCCTCCTCGCTAGCAAGCCCACCCCTTCCCCCACGCTATGTCTCCCCTTCCCCCTCCCAAGCACTCCCCTTCCACCTCCCTAGCACTCCCCTTCCCCCTCTCTGGCATGGAGAGAAGAGAGGGAAGGGAGGGATGGGAGGGAAGGGAGGGACGGGATAGACGGGAGAGACGGGAGAGACAGGATATAGCAAGGAGGGATGAGAGGGAAGGGAGAAAAGGGAGTGAAGGTAAGGGAGGAGAGAAAGGCAGGACGGGAGAGAAGGGAGGGAAGGGAGGGAAGGGAGGGAAGGGAGGGAAGAGAGGGACGGGAGAGAAGGGAGGGAAAGGCCCGATGCTTGAGCAGGGGGAGAAGAGATGGAAGGGAGAGAGGGTGAGAAGGGAGAGAGGGGGAAAAGGGATAGAAGGGTGAGAAGGGAGGGATTGGAGGGTTGGGAGGGAGGGGAGCGAAGGGAGAAAAGGGAGGGAAGGGAGGGAAGGGAGGGAAGGGAGGGAAGGAGGGGAGGGATGGACGGGAGAGAAAGGAGGGAAGGGAGAGTTGGAAGATTGGAAGTCAGGATGAGACGGAAGGGAGAAAAGGGTGGTAGGGGGAGAGAGATGGGCGGGAAGGGAGTGAAGGTAGAAAATGGAGAGAAGGGAGGGAAGGGAGTGAAGGGAGGGAAGGGAGGGAAGGGAGGGAAGGGAGGGAAGGGAGTCACGGGAGAGAAGGAAGGGAAAGGAGAGATGGGAGAGCAGGGAGAGAAGGGAGGGAAGGGGAAAGAGGGAGTGAAGGGAGAGAGGGGCGAGGAGGGAGGGATTGGAGGGAAAGGAGGGAGGGAACGGAAGGGAGGGAAGGGAAGAAGGGAGGGAAGGGAGGGAAGGAGGGTTGTGGAGTTAGGGAGGGAAGGGAGAGACGGGTGAGAAGGGAGGGATTGATGGGATTGGATGGAAGGGAGGGAAGGAGGGAAGGGGGAGAAGGGGGAGAAGGGAATTACGGGAGGGTAGGGTAGTCGCACGACCCGGAAAAGGGATTAGGGAGGCGGGAAGGCATGTCTGGCGGTGGGAAAAGGGAATCGGGCGGCGGGATTGGCGAAGCGGGCGGCGGGAAAGCGAATTTGGCGTGTTGAAAGGGGAATCGGGCGGCGGGAAGGGGCGGTCGGGCGGCCCGCCCGGAATCAATGGGCGGGAAAGGGGATTCAGGCGGCGCGGAAGGTTTTATCGGGCGGAGCGGAAGGGGATTCGGGCGGCAATATAGGGGAACCGGGCGGCGGGAACGTGAATCGGGCGTCGCGAAGGGGAGTAGGGCGACGGTAGAGGGAACGCGGCCGGCGGGAAAGAAGAATCGGGAGGCACGAAGGGGAATCGCCGGGCGGCGAGACCAGGGAGTCGAGCGGCGGGAAGGGGAATCGCCGGGCAGCGTGACTGGGGATTCGTGGCGGCGGGAAAGGGAAAGAGGGTGGCGGGGAGGGGCATGGGGCGACGGGAATGGGGATTCGGGGGGAGTAAAAGGGGAGCTCTGGCCGCATATATGGGCTATGGCGAAACCTCCACTATTTCACATTCTCCCTTCCCACGCGATATGCTCCGCATTGTAGGCGCCGGATAAAAAACCCTCGCATGTGCTGCACATTTCCTTACACGCAATCTCATTCCGCCAGACAGCTAGTTATAAATCTCAACTTTTAGTAATGCGCGTTTTGAGTGCACACTGGCGCGCGGCACATCCCATTATCACGGCCCTTCGTTTCACGGCGCGTCCCATGCCCCATGAGCGCGACGGCTCGCTTTCCACCCTACTCACTCTCGTCTTCCGCGGAGAGCTCCGCGTATTCGGCGGGTTCGGCGGCGATGCCTGCACTCGAATCACTATCCTCTCGGCGCGTCATCACAAAGCCTAGATTTCTAACTTGGTTTTGATGGTTGCTACCAATGATTCCTGAGTATGTCATACTATTTCTAGCTCAATGACCTGCCAGGCTTAGTCAACTCACGACGTTCTACTTCTTGCTTGCAACACAGAGTCACTGGACTCGGCTGGCAATGGGAAAAGGTCGCAGAGTGTGTTTGGCGATGTTTCACGTTTGGCAATTGTGTCGCCTGGCAATTGTGGTAACAGCGTTGTCGCCCAAAAACGGGCGAACAGCGTTCAGCGGTTTCGGGAACCCAGCTACTCGCCATCCAATTGTAAGCTTCTTCCCAACCAACCTTCCTACCTTTGAAACCTGTGGACCCTGGGTTTTAACAATCGAAAAGGAACCCACTAGACTGACTCTCAGAGCAGGAAGCCTAGTTGTACTACAGCTGTTTCGGAACGCAGATGTTTCTCGCTCGGGGACGAGACCAGCCATTCCGGCAAGAAAGCTCTTAATGATCACCATTAAGCATCTAGATGTCTCTGAAAAATATCCTTAAACTGTCCAGATGATTTTGAGTTCATCCCTCTTAAAATCAGGATCTCTGACCAAAACATCCAGATTGTCGACGAGATTTCGGATGTCCACTCTGCTACCGAGAGCAACTGTTGCTCTCCAACAAGCCTCAGCACAACTTCCAAGAAAGTTGGAATTGTGTTGTTACGCACATCCAATGTTCCTAAGTGACCGAACTTCGGTTGGGCAGACACTCTTGTAGTTTGTAACACAATGACATCCCCTCCCTCTATTCCCTCGGGTGTTCGTTTTTCATTGCTACAGTTGAACCTTATCATTGTACTGTCCACTAGTATAAAATTACAGCCTTACTTTCGAGAACATTCCCGAATGTACAGTAACATGTGTACCACGAGCTTGTCACTTGCGAACGATCGCGATTGTTGGCACAGCGTGCACTGTTGCTGACAGTTGCATACCTCGAGGACAGCTGACTTGGTGGCTCACATAACCACAAGCCAGGCAGGAGCAAGCCAGCACAACCCTTCCGTTCACGTACTGTAGCTCGTTGAAAACAACCGAACCGTAGCTCTGTTTGAAATACTGTACAGGCTGGGCAGTGTCATTCAAACCTTACAGTTCATTGATTGTGCGATGCGAATATACCAAGTAAGTTACCCTATTTAGCGTACTTGGCTATGATGTCAATTCGAGAATTTCGAAGTAGATGTCGTCACGCTTCGTCGATTTCGTGCAGCCGATGAACGTGAGCAGAAAGACCGTGTTTGCAAGCACGCTCCGGAAGCGCATTCGAACACGCGGTCCACTGACTGTCTGGTTACATCACTACCAAGCTGATATTCGAGCATTGATTCGCTAACATGACAAGACTTTGCGACATTCATGAAGTCAGTAACAAGCTCAAGTTCGACCGTTCCTTCGAACGTTGACTGAAAAGTACCGCGCCCCCAGGAGCTAAACAACTCCTTCCCAAACAAAAGAACGCCTGGAATTCGTCCCAGCTCGTCAAAAGGTGAGGGACACCTGTTAAAACCAGGGTGCACATTCAACGCGGTTCGGCTTGAGATGTTGGGAAGGGGGTTTGGAGAAAAACAGTGATTGGCTCACGAGGGGCGACAAAAAAATGATTCCGCTAGAGCTTCGGGCATTTCGTAGGTGGCGGGAGGGGGTGAAATGGCGGGAGTGGGTGAAACTGAATGGCGGGAGGGATGAAACAGATTGGCGGGAGGGGGGGGAAACGAAATTGCGGGGGAGGGGGGAAACAAAATTGCGGGGGAGGGGGGAAACGAATTTCGACGGGGAGGGGGAAATGAAATTGCGGGGGCGTGGGGAAACGAAATTGCGGGGGAGGGGGGAAACGAATTTCGACTTGAAGGGGTTGAAAGCACACCTCGTAACCCACTCAGTCAAGGGATAACCTTTGATGCACATTCAGCTGAATGTGCACCCCGGTTTTAAAGCCGCGGTGCAACTATCTTAGGAACAGTGACAAGCCGGGTTTTGTCTTGTTCCGTACTGGTAGTCAATTGGCTAGCGAGTGTGTAAGTTGTGTTGCGATGAAAACATCCAAGGCGAATGTCGCGAACCTCGAAAGGAAAAGTGGGGGGGAAGGGGTGGGGGGAAGGGAAGGGGGGAACACACACGAAACGGGAAATGGGACCACATCAACACCCCCATACTCCCTTTCGCTGATTGTTCTGCCAATAACACCTCCACATAGCAAAACGATAAACCTTATGTTTCATAAAGGCTTTGCAAAATACATATTTCACTTACAAGGTTTATTTTGGTTTATTTATCCATCCATTTGCAAGAGTATTATTTATAATGGGGAGAAAGAACATCAAATGTACAAACCTGCAAGACTTGGAATGTCATATTGAAATCCTTATCATGCAAAGGATCGCAAGCAAACAACATGGCATAATCCAAGGAGAGCCGATTTTTACACTACGATCCACTATTGGTGCAGCTGTCCATTTACAGGGAGGAGGGGGGAGGGGAAAAGGGGAAGGAAACGTTGCGCATTATTGAAGAATGTTAGGTAGGGAAATTGAAGAGAGCATGGAAACTGAGATATGATAGACAGCCTTCAGTGGCCAAGCAAAGCTGGTACTGTCGGCTGGGCTGGACGAGAGAACGTAGTGGAAATGGAAGGGACGGTAGTGGGGGAAGGCGAGGGGCAGGGGAGGGGGGAAAGGGATGGCTGAGAGAAGCGTGAATGGTGGGAGAGGACAGTAGGAAAGGGAAGGGATGTGAGAGGGAGAGGAAAGGTGGGAGGGAAGGACAGGGGGAAAGGGAGAGAAGGACAGGGGGAAATGGAGAGGAGGACTGGGGGAAAGGGAGAGGAGGACAGGGGGAAAGGGAGAGGAGGTCAGGGGGAAATGGAGAGGAGGACAGGGGGAAATGGAGAGGAGGACAGGGGGAAAGGGAGAGGAGGACAGGGGGAAAGGGAGAGGAGGACAGGGGGAAAGGGAGAGGAGGACAGGGGGAAAGGGAGAGGAGGACAGGGGGAAAGGGAGAGGAGGACAGGGGGAAAGGGAGAGGAGGACAGGGGGAAAGGGAGAGAAAAACAGGGAGGGCACTGTCCAAGAGAAGTTGATGCTGAGGACCGGGCAAGGGATCGGAAAGGGGGAGGCATTGGAGAGGGGGAAATTGGATTATTCCGGGAGGTGACATGGTGGGACGCGAGATGCTTCGCCACCGTCGCACAGATGCTTCGCCCCGCTGCTCGCTATCGTCGCCCTGGTGCTTGCTATCGTCGCCCTGGTGCTCGCTATCGTCGCCCTGGTTGTCGCTATCGTCGCCTTGATGCTCACTATCGTCGCCCTTGTGCTCGCTATCGTCGCCCTGGTGCTCGCTATCGTCGCCCTGCTGCTCGCTATCGTCACCCCGCTGCTCATATCGTCGCCCCGCTGCTCGCTATCGTCGCCGCACCGCTCGCTATCGTCGCCCCGCTGCTCATATGCGACCACCGATATCTAGCTATCGTCGCCCCGCTGCTCGCCACCGTCGCACCCATTCCTGCCTGTCGCTACCGTTGCGCCTTTGCTACCGCAGATACGTGAGGAATGGAGGGGCGGGAGAGGAATAAGGACGGCAACGGAGGAAAACGAGCGCAATGCGCTTCGAATACGACAAAAAGGTGTTTACGAGGTACGAAATTGCGCAGATATTCGTGAGCACATCAATAGACCATGAAACGCGAGAAATCTTAGCGGAAATGGCTCTGCGTAGCTCGGAAAACGCACTTCAAGTTAGTAAGAACCTAGTTCAAGCGTGAAAGTTTGCCAAGTTTGAGTTGTTTTGAGTTCAAGTTTGAATTTTCAAGTTTGCTGCATGCGCTCCCCCTCAACTCGTTGAGCGGAGCTTTTCCCCGAGCCCTCCCCCGTTTCCCCCCCACACACATCATACTGCGAAGGACTTTTCCGCACGCCCTTCCCCCGCTGGCAGAAACCTCTCCCTGCTCGCTTTCCTGTGTATACTGGGTTACGCGGCTTTCAAACTATAATGGTTTGAACTGGAGCCCGGATATCTGCACCGCGGCTTTAAAGGCGGGGTGCAACTTCTTAGGCACGACGCTCAATGATTCTCAGGCACGACGCTCTACCAACCACTACTACAGTTAGCACTGGGCATGTTGAGCCACACCGACGCAACAGCAGATGATTGCTAGTAGGAATCTAATACTAGTCCACCAGAAATTGCGCTACGAGTTCCAATGCCTGCCACGCACAGAGCTCGTTCCTCGCGCCGCCGCCGCGGCGTTGCGCAACCGTGGTCAATGCGTGCTGGTGTAGCAGCTCGGCTGCTTCTTTGCACGGCCCTCGCACTTGCCACCGCTGCAGATTGCTCTTTCTCTTCCGCCAACCACCCACTGCCGCGGCGACAACAAGCCCCCCGTCGGCCGAATCAACGCGTGCCGCTGTCTCCCCTTGCTCCGCCCATCCGCGCTCAGCGATCGCTCCTCAAGCTCGACGCCGCCACCGCCGGCTCCGCGGCCGACTCCGAGCCGACCGGCGGTGGCGCTGCAGCAAGGCCCGTGGCTTTTGAGGCGACGCAACGTGAGCTCGCTGCCCCTCGCGCGCTCGACGCTCCCAGCGAGTTCCGCCCTCCGCCATGCATGCATCTCTTTAAATATCAACTATTCATCGCAGCATTGGGAGCTCAGTGCTGGCTGGTCCGCCCCCCGCTCAGTCGGACTAAACCCCCTCTCCTCCCTTTGTTTCGGGCGCGGCTCGCTGCGCGTGCGCAGTGAGCGAGATTGTGAAGGTGCAGGCGGCGTGGGGCGCGTGGGCGGGCAACAGCAACGGCACCACTGCGTGCTCTGCGTGGCCTGGCGTGACATGCAGCCCTAACGGACTGGTCATCGCATTGTGAGTGCCATTGCCCCCCACTGCGGCCCCCCACTGCTTCAACGGGCCATTGCCGCCCCACATCAGTACCCTCACTGTTCGCCCTTGACGACCCGTTATCGGGGGGACCATGTTCTCGCGAATTCCTGCACGCGCTTGGCGCGTTCTGCGCTGTCCGAAAACGTTCGTGAGCGAGCTCTCGCATAGAAAACGTTGTGCACGTGGAGGAATCGCGCACGCGCAGGGAATGTGCACGCGCATGGAATGTGCACGCGCAGGGAATGTGCACGCGCATGGAATGTGCACGCGCATGGAATGTGCACGCGCATGGAATGTGCACGCGCATGGACTGTGCACGCGCATGGAATGTGCACGCGCATGGAATCTGCACGCGCAGGGAAGCAGCAATGAATGTGTAAGGGAACGTTTGCGCAGCAGAAAGTGTTCGCACAGGAGGCTAAGATGCGAAACAGCCGGAAGCATTCATTCGCGTCGCAGCACATGGTACGTGCCAAACGACCCGCTTCTCGTGTCGACCAGTGCGGAAACTTTCTGTAGTGGGAAGATTCGGACATGTTCACTAACCTAACACAACAAACACACCCAGTTGGGTTGCAATATATCCAACACGCGCGCCTCACTCCTATCATGCGTTTCACGCGCCACGGCTCTTCCGGAGTTTACAGTTCTTTGCAGCCCATGCATGCATTCATTGCTGTGCATCACCTGTTTTTGCTTATGAAGCCGGGGTGGTTGCGTTGCGTGCGTGTGGTTGCGTGCATGTCGTTGCGTGTGTGTGGTGGGTGGCAGGGATTCAAAGGCTGTGGCGGTGGATGGCAGCGCCGCCATACCTGCCTCCATCACCAACCTCGCTGCTCTGCAGTACCTGTCCGTCCCCAGTCACCCTCCCCGCCACTCCATCCACTCTGCATTGCTGCATTGCATGCACCATGCCATCACACCACGATACCATCCATCACAGTCCCTCCTGTTTCTTGCCCTCGGTGGCCGTGCTTGCTCGTCCATGCCCCGCCTCACCAGGAGGTTTCAAAGCGGCCATGCCATGTCTATGCCGACCTCCCCTCCCCCCCCCCCCCCCCCGGCCCTTTCCTCCCCCCCAACCCAACCCCCCGCATCTCGCTCTCCACTTGCTTCATAAGCCACACCCGGCTGCCCCGCTCGCCAGGGTTCAAAAAAACGACCGTTTTTTTTTTTTAAATACCGTAAAAAACGGTATCGTAAAAAACGGTCGTAAAAAACGGTTTAAAACGGTTCCAGGAGGTGTTTCCTGTTTAACTAACAAAACGGCCACTTAGTGGGACCAAATAGAACCCGAAATGCAGCAGCATGAAGGGGACGGACCCCTACTTGCATGTATGCGCTCGTTGGCATGATTGGAAATGTTTTTCACCTTGTTTTTCTCTTTTTTTTCTTGGTGAATAGAGTTCTCTAACAAAAAAACGGCCGTTTTTTTGAAAAATCACCGTAAAAAACGGACCGTATTTTACGGAAACCGTAATTTTGATCCTTGCCGCTCGCTGCCCTTGCACGCTTCAACTCTGCAGCAGTTGGTGCAGCAGCTGGGATGTGATGTGATCTGCACCGAGGCATCGCTCTGCACGCCTCATTCCGCGTCCCTCCTGCCATCGCTCTCTCTTCCTGCCTCCCCATGTCCACAGGGATCTCACAAACGAGCAGCTGGTGGGGCCCATCCCCTCCCTCGCAAGTCTCTCCAGCCTCACTCTCCTGTACTTGCCCTGCTTCCGTTCACACGACACGACGCACCGGAGCCATGCATGCCGGGGCCGTGTCCTCGCCTTGTCTGAGTGTGAAATGTCTCGTGGGCGTGCCCTTGTCCTCCTGCTTGCCCTTGTCCCCCTTCCCTTGTTCCCCCGCCCTTGTCCCCCCGTCCTTGTCTCCCCGTCCTCCTTGTCCACTTGCCCCTGTCCCCCCGCCCCTGTCCCCCCGCCCTTGTCCCCCGCCCTTGTCCCCCCGCCCTTGTCCCCCGCCCTTGTCCCCCAGCCCTTGTCCCCCCGCCCCTATCCCCTTCCCTGTGCCCCCGTGCCCCTGACCCCCTGCCCTTGTCCCACTGCGCTCCTTCTCTCCTCTGCAGCCAAAGATTGTTACTGCTCTTGCTCTCTCCTTTCTCATGGAGTTGATGTTTCGTTCCACCGCTCCTCTGCATGTGCGGCATGGCTGGCTGCATGTGCTGCATGTTCTCAGAGCTATTGGAACAGACGGCAGCCAGCTGACCGGCACCTACGAGGGACTGACCTGGCTCTCTTCCCTCTCCAACCTGCAAACGCTGTATGCCCTTCACACTGCCACGCCCTGTTCTCATCTCAGTTCACACGCCCTGATGATAACTGTGCCACTTGGCATGCAGTTGGCACTCCATTTCGTCTCTAAGCCATGCTGCCATCTCATTGCTGCGCGCCATGCCACATGCCACATGGTTCCAGCAACTCGTGTACAAGCCGCGTGTCGTGTCGTGTCGTGTCGTGTCGTGTCGTGTCGTGTCGTGTCCCACCCTCTGCCCACCCCGTGGCTTCTCGCACGTGCCACAAACCTCCCACCACCACCCATCACCACCCACCAGGAATCTGTTTGGCCTGGCGGAATTCACAGGGAGCTTGTCCTCTCTGCATGTTCTCTCTCACCTGGAGAATCTTCGAAGCCTGTAAGCTCGATTCGAGTGTGTCGGGAGCCAGTGCTGCCTTGATGCTTCAACTCGTGTAGCTCATCGTCTCAGCCAGTGTGTGTGATGTGAGCTGACTTGGTGGCCGCCTCTCATTGTGTCTTTTCTTGGTAGCGTTGACTCTTCCCCGTGGGTGTGCATGTGCGCAGGACACTAAAATCGCTCACCAATGCCACGGGGGAGATACCCAGGGAGATCCGGTACCTCACAGCCCTCACTGCACTGTAAGCTGCACACAGGTGTAAGTAACAGTAGATCAGATGGAACACGCTTGGTCACGTGCACGAGCAGATTTTTGCTGACTGCTCGTCTGGAAAGAGATCGGCCCTCTGCTATGCCCTTATCCATGTGCCGTCTCCTTGCATTCTCCCCTGCAGTGATTTGTCGTACCTTCGGGCCTTGGAGTTCCCTGCCTGGGTGACTCACCTCTCCATTCTTCAATATCTGTGAGCCATTGCCATTGCCACACACCTACCGCCCTTGCTGCTGCATTTATGATGCATGCACCCTAACACAATGCATGTCATGGCCGTGGCCTTGCCTTGTCTGAGTCTGGAAAGTCTTGCGGGTGTGCCCTTGTCCCGCTGAACTTCCCGCTGCCCTTGTCCTCCTGCCACTGTCCCCTTACCTTTGCCCCATTTCTCTTGTCCCCTTGCCCTTGTTGCTCTGCCCTTGTCCCCTTGCCCTTGTCTCCCTGCCATTCTCCTGCTGCCCTTGTTCCCCTACCCGTGCCCCTCTGTCCTTGTCCCTCTGCCCCTGTCCCCCTGACTTTGTCCCCCTGCCCCTGCATGCAGCAACGTGAACGCGGACGACCCGCGGCGGCAGGGCTTGTTGACAGACGACATCTCGCACCTCACAGCGCTCACCACCCTGTGAGTGAACTGCAGCGCGCAAAGGCCAAACCTTCAGTCACAATACATGGAAGCAAGGGGCCAAGCAGTTCGTGTATGAGTGTGGGGATGGCTTGGCCTATTTCTGCAGCTGCTGCCAGCCAGTCAGAGAGGCCACCATGCGGGCAGGCGGGTGTGCTGCGCTGCGCTGGACAGCACGTTTCTGCCACTCCCGCACAAGTCCCTCCCTCTTGTGTTATCCTCGTGCCGTGTATCTGGAGTGTACTTTTGAACATTCTCAAAACTAATCTCCCCTCCCCCATGTGTTATCCTTGTGCCCTGCATCTCGTGCCTGGTGGCACGCACTGTACTGCAGATCCCTCAAAGGCAACAACCTGGACGGCTACCTGCCTAAGAGCTTCTCCTCGCTCCTCAACCTGCAGTACCTGTGAGCCACTGCCTAGACATGAGCAACAACCGATCGCGAACATGTTCCTGTCGAACACTTTCAAACACCCCTCGAACTCGAGCCGAACAGGTTGCGGTTCGAGTCGAGCACTTTTTCCATCAAGTGGTGCTCGACTGTTCGCCCATGGGGGTCAAAGAGTTCAATGTGCAAACAGTCGAATACCACTCGTCGAACACCTCGAGCTCGAACACGAACGTGTTCAAGTTCAGCAATCCTCCCCTCCCCCTCCACAGCCCCATTCCCACCCTCCACACCCAACCAACCCCCCTCTACAGCCTCATCCATGTCCTCCTCCTCAAGCCCCTCCCCTCCCAGTGCCGTTGCGCTTCAAACTCGATCTGGACATGTCGAAAACTCGACCATGTTCGACCCGAACACAACTGTTCGGTTGAACATTTTTTGCCTAAAAGAAAAATAACTATCATCACAACAACAACAACAATAACTATCATTAGAAAATTTTTATCTTGTTTCAGGGCGTTGAATTACAACCATCTTCAAGGCAGCATCCCCGCCACCCTCTCTGCCCTAACAGCCCTCACTGCAATGTAAGTTCCAAGCATGCACGTCATTTTGCTCCCCCCGACCCCCACTCTCTCTCACACCATCTCGTTGCTCACCCCTGTCTCGCCCCCTTGTTCATGGACTGCAGTGCTGCTCTTTCTGCCCCCTCCCTCCCATTGCAGAGATCTCTCATTCAACTCTCTGTCTGGCTCCTTTCCCCCTGTCTTCACCACCAACATCCAAAGCATGTATGTCTCGCGCCTCCTTACTTCAAATCAAGCTCTACCCTTCACACCCACAACAATCCCTGTATCCTCTTCGTCCTTTGTAAACCCTCATGCTTGCTCTCCCCCTCCCCCCCCCCCCCCCTCCCCTCCCCCTCCCCTCCCCCTCCCCTCCCCCCTTCCCCCCCTCTCTTTCTCTCAAATGGTCCTTCTTGTTAGTGAAACTGAATGGTACATCTCTCAAATTAGCATGACATTATAACAACAACCACAACACAACAAGCCAACTGGGAGAGTGTGATGTATGCCCTTCCTACGGCTGTTTGGCCACCCACTCTAGCTCCAAGAAACAATCCCCGCGGCTCAATGCGTCGGTTTGTCCACCGACTGGTGGATTCTCAACCTGCACCGCAAAGTTAATAGAATCAATATTATCTTAAATCTAAATAAAGTTCCGCAATGCACCACCCAACTCAAACCCAATCCGTTATCTCGAACATCCCCCCTATGCTTCTAAACTGCCGCATCTACTACGCTAAACATATTCCTGGCGCTAAAGATATTGTCAGGAGCCAATCTCCAGCTCCCGGGCCTTGAAACACGATATTGATTATATGGAGGAGTCACCTCCCCTTCCGATCCAGAGCTCTTGGCTACAACGCCTTTAGTGGCCCCATCCCGCCTCACCTTGCACTGCCCCAACTCTCTACCCTGTAAGCCCAGCCCCTCTCTGCCCTACTTCCTTGCACTCATTATCTGCACCCCATAAACCTGATGTCTTACTCTC